GTCGAATCCCCTGCAATTCAAACCACCATCAAAGCAATGGGGGTTCATGTGACTACAATGTGTTTTTTTGTTTCTCCACCCGCTGGTCGAACTTATTGGGATTATTCAAGCCATCGAAGCAATGGGGGTGAAATTGCAGCCACATGGTTTTCTCAAGGATTGTCATCATCCAAGTTGGGTCAACCATTCTTTTCACGGGGGGTTGAACCCTAGCGGAATGGTAGTGAACGAGCATTTAAGGATTCGCTCATTTCCCTGCAAGGCGAAGTTTTGAGGGGAAGGGGGCGCTTGAAGCTTGAAATCCTCGCCTTTCCGGATTGGTTTTTCAACCATCGGCTCCTTTGAGGGCGGTCTTTTTGCCACCTTTGGTGGAAAAATGATCGACCTCCCTGTAGTGAAGGATTCCTTCTTGCGGGGGTCGCCAATTTTTCTCACAGGTGGCAAAAAGACCCCCCCGGTTCCTTCCCAACCCGAGGCAAAGACCGGCAGTGGGCTTTGGCCCTGGCCATCGCCTTCTCCATGCCGATGACCGCGGTGCCGCCGGACCTCATCACGTGGAACTCCGCCATCGCCGGCTCAAACTGGCGCTGGGCCTGGGAGCTCTTCCGGAACCTCGAGGACACGAAAGAACAGGTGCCATTCAGTGGGTGGGGGGTGGGATTCTTGTGACCATATGGACATATAAACCTATATATCTATATGTGCGTATTTAGCTACACACACACGCGCATATATATATATATTATATATGTTATATATATATATATATATTATATATATTATATATATATATATATTTGTATATATGCAAAAATACGCCAGCATAGGTCCCAGATAGCATGGAAGATTGCAACAGCACCAGGCTGGACCTGTTGAACATCAGTCTTGTTCATATGCCGAGTGTCTGCCGCGGTATGGCCTGGGTGGCACCCAGAGAAGCTTGGAAGGTATGAGCCGGTAGCCCCAAGTCTCAAAGCGATGCCAGGTGCGCGGGTGCAAGACGAGGGGGAGAAGCTTTGTAAGCGAAGCGTATGGTCCAGAACAACCACTTTCCAGTTCTGTTTGAAGGGGTCTAGCGAGTATTTTTGAACAAGGCCTCAGAGTAGGGGTGGATCATTCCCCCAGTACCCGGACGGAGGGCCCGGCACTGCTTGGAAACCTCACAATCCTCCGGTGAAGGCCTCACAAACCACTGACCACGGTATTTAGTTGGGGAAAATTAAAGTCCAAAGGTTTGAGTTGAACCTATTTGTTGGGATCTTTTGAACATGGTTGTCTCATCTTTGCAAAGGGTATAAAAAGCCGACCAGCTTCAGACTTCCCAGCACCCAGACTTCCACGGCTCGAGTTTTTCGGAGGAGCGGCGTCCGGGGCTACGCCCCGACGTCTTCACCTGGAACTTGGTCTCTGGCGCCTGCGCGCGCGCGGCGCGCTGGGCGCAGAGCATCGGCCTCCTGGAGGCCCGGTGCTTAGAAGCGACCTCCGCGAGTCGGGTCTACGCGCCGAAAGGCGTCGCCATGGTTGGAACTGATTTGTTGGTATTTACGTTGATTTGTTGGTTTGGTTTGTTTGTTCGAATCGGTTGGCCAGCTTGTAGTGTCCCTTCCTTCGCCATGAGCCAAGAGCTTTGGTCTCACGGGTGGTCCAGCTGGATGAGTACTGAAACGTAAGGTTTGTTGGTATTTACCTTGGGGGATCGAGTCATTCCAGGGTTTCTTAGCGCGAAGTGGAGTTCGTCCATCCACCAGCTGAACGTATGAACCACGCGCGAAAGTTGTTTTAAAGGGGGCGGAGACTGCCAGCTGAATTTTGCTGGTGTCGACATTGCGGTTGCCAGACACGAAGCCGGTTTGGCTCAAGATGCCACTATGTAGACTGTCGTTGACCCGCTGGTGCGTTGCCACCGCGCTGCTCCTGTCTTTGCTCCTTGGCCTGGCCATTTGGCGTTCTCAGTGTGGCGATGGATGCACGGTCTTTCAGCTCACTTCCAATATGCTTTGGGCTCGCCTTCCCACTATCAATCATTATAAGACCAAGAGCTTCGAATCGTTCATGCGTATGCAATCTGGCAAGGGCTGGCAGCTCTATTACGACTTGGGGCAGTTCAGTGGCAACAAACGCAAGAGCGCAAACCAGACGGAGTTGCGAGTGCAAAACTTCTTGGCACGAAATCGATCTGGGAGTGGGGTTCATGATGCGACAGCAAGTCAATACGCGGCAATGCTGGCAAATGTTAGCAGGATGAGCATGGATGATCGTGTGTTGCGATACCATCGATCAAGGTACTGTGTTTTGGGCTACTTTAGGCCGGGGCACCTTCATTGCCGTCCGCACTTCTTGACTTTGATGGCCCAGGTGACGGAGGGGCAAGAAGCTTTGTTGCACGACTGGATCAACTTTCACAGCGGCCTTGGCTTTGATCACTTCGCGTTTCAGAACGTGTTGAACTCCAGCAGCGTGGAAGCAGCCTTACAGAACTTCACCGACAGGGGCATCGCCGAGCTGAGCCCCACGATTCGGCGGCCCGAGGATTTTTGGGGCACATGGAAGGCGGACTGGCTCGCAGAGTGCGATGTGAGTCACTGCAGTTTTTGGGTGGCGTATTTTGACTTAGATGAGTACATGATGCCTCCGGTGAGGTTTGATTCCCTGAGCAGCTGGTTAAGGCCCTATACCAAGTGGAGGAACGAGAGCTTTCGCGATGCCAAGCAGTTTCACATGATGCAGCACGTCTTCGGGTCCGGGGCGTGGTACCACGATCCCCCCGAGTCCATGCCCGACATCGTGGCCTTTACGGAGCGAGGGAAGCTGGCGGATTGGAACGGCAAGAGCGTGGCCTTGCTGGACGCGGTGGATTCCAGGCCCGGGCTCACGAAGACCAACTTCCCGCATCGCTTCTTTCTCAAAAACGGGGTGGAGAGGGACACGGCGCTGTGGATCTTCAACTTGGGATTCGGAGAGCTTTGGTTCGACGCCATGAAGGCGACGAAGGGCTGGGGGATCCACTGGCACGAGGATGCCATGCGAGAAGCTGCCGGCATGAAAGATCTTCGACTCTATCCTGTGCTGATGCTGCTGAGCTTGTCGCTGGCGTGCTGCGCCGGGGCCATAAGACGCTGTCGCAAGTAGCGATGCACTCCAAGCTCTTCACCTCCCGACCCGTCGGGCAAAGTCAAGTGGGGAGAGGGATCACCGATTTTATTCCGAGAAGACCTCGATTTGGCCGAAAGTTGAGTCGAGAGACAGGTTGGGCAGGAAAAGCGCGCGGCAAATAATGACTTTACCCACAGCGTCATCATCATCATCATCATCATCATCATCATCATCATCATCATCATCATCATCATCATCATCATCATCATCATCATCATCAGGTTTTCAGAAAGGGCGCTCCTTGTGTAGCAAACCGGCATCCGCGGAAGAAGGTGCGAGGAAAAAGCAAGCCTCACTGCCAAAACACTTCGCGCTAGGCCGGAGACCGCGACGTGGTGGGCTACAGCACTGCCATCACCGCAGTGCGCAAAAGGCCCTGGCGGTTGGCGATGGATTTGTTCCAGGCCCATCGTTTTCTGGGATGCCATCCCCCCCAGAAAACCAACATGGCCATGGCCATGGGTCAAAATCCTGTGCCCCCAGTGAACATCCCAATCCCCACTAAAATAGGTTCTAAAATGGGTGATGCACCTTATCCCAAAATGGGATCCCCATTCGTTTTGACAACCACGGCCACATGGGCCATGGGTCAAAATTCAACCAGGGGACCGCAGGCTTTAGCCCATCCATTTACCAGAGCAAGCCATTTTGGCATATACATGCATATACATGCATATACATGCATATACATACATAAACATACATACATACATACATACCCGGTGGTTCTTCTCGCTCCAAACTTCTCGAGGCCATGGCAGAGCTTGAGGTCCGCGCTACAGCGGTGACCCTGGGTGCGGTTTTGAGCTGCCAGAGAGGCCACTGGCCCTGGGCAATCGCGCCTTGGCCGGGTTCAAGTTGGCTGATGGCCTGTCTTTACTTGAGCCACGTGCTCAAAACCTGGGTAGATGAAGGCTAAGGGACGATCCCAAGCACAAATAGCTGCGGATATCCGCCTTCTTAATCATTTACATGGTTCTGGGGTCACCAATTTTTGCACCGGGTTTTGATTTTGTCTCACTTGCTGATAGTTCCTGTTAAACCAACACAGCGTGTGAATAAAACTACATGCCAATGTGTCCTCTGGCGCAAATATGTTTTTCCAGCAGGACGTTTTCTCGCAGCTGCAGCCGTGGCAGAAGCGGAGCGCAATTCTGTACAATGCGCTTGTCAGCGCGTGCGCTGCGGGCGGGTGCTGGGAGGCGGCTTTCTTCCTGCTTCAGGAAATGCAGGAAGTCTCCCTGCGCAGAGACCGCTTCAGCTTCGGCGGCGTGATGGATGCCTGCGCGAAGGCCCAGCAGTGGCAGCTGGCGCTGGCCGTGTTCGGCTGGGTGCAGGAGCTGCGCCTGGGCAACTGCGTGATGACCAGCAGCCTCGTCAGCGCGCTGGCCAGAGCCCGGCAGTGGCAGCGTGCCGCAGGGCTGACGCTGCTTGCGAGTGGAGAGAGCAACGAGTGGAGCTTCAGCGCGGCCATCCAGTGCCAGAGGTCCTGGGCCACCGCGCTGCACCTCTTCCAAGCCATGCCGCAGGCCCTGCTGCAGCAGGACCTCCCCTGCCGCAACGCCCTCTTCGTGGCCTGCCGCGGCCTGGGGCACTGGCGAGTGGCCCAGGCGGCGGCGGCGGAAAAAGGCGTGACGTGTGACGGCGGCCGTGCAAGGCGAGCCCATGGCAAGCTCGGAGCACTTGGATAACCCCACTTGGCAAGTTGATATCTCCAGTTCGCAAGTCCCCAAGTGAGTATAGATAGGAGTAACTCCCACTTAAAAGGCTTAGGGCACGTTGGAGCAAACAACCTTTTTTGGTAGGGTGGACGGTTGGTTGGTTTTGATGGAAGCCGACAGCCTTAGGCTTTCTTCCTCGCAGCAGTTGGTGCCCTTCAGAGATCCTCCTGAAACCGAGCGCGTGGCAGGGTCCCAAGGGGGCGAATAGCGTGCAAGTGGCTCGTCAGCCAAGTGGGTTGCCCCAAATTCAGTGGTTATGAACGGGGTACACGGAATCCTAGTGCATGCCCCAAAGCAGCCCCTGAAAAAAATATTCAATCTCCCCACATTGTCCTGCTCAAGCAAACATGTTTGCGGAATTCATGGTTCTCCATCTTTTCCCTTGCGGGCTTGAAGGACGATCAACATCACGGCTTCCGGAAGAACTTTCAACAGCGGCAAGTGTTTTGTATGAAATTTCCGCTTAGCACAAGTTAGTAACAACAAACGTGGGCCAAGTTCGTCGCGTGTCGCTGTCAGGCATAAGTAGCTGTTTCCTGTTTCCTTGGGCAGGTGCACATGTTCAGCATGTTGCCAGTGCCCTTTGGGCTGTAGCAGTCTTGCACTGGCTTGTAGGTGGTTATCTCAACCAACGTGGCGGAAACATCGGTCACGGGCTCAGCGTCGACCGGGCCCTTGGCGCGAGTCCGCAAGCCGCAGATCCGAGGTCACGTTGCCAAACGTGCGCAGGGCTCAGCGGCAACCTGCGGCTTGTCGAGTTGCAACCTGGGAACATGTGAGCTCAAACTTGACCTGGGAAAGGATTCCCCATTGATCTCCCACCCAAAAATCAACCGAAATTGATTGCGGCACGCGCGCGCAAACGAATGGCGGCGGTCGCCTCCGAGGCGCTATGTGGTGGACTGTGGTCGCGAGAAGCGTCGCCGGCAGGGGGCCCAGGCGGGTGTCAGATAGGCGCCCGGCCGGCCGTTTTGGGGCATGCCTGGGTGAGACTATGGCAGATTTGTAGTATGGCAAGTCAAAAAGGAGTTTTTTTGTTTTTCCTCTTTTGCTTTTAGACTCCTTGCTTCACGCCGGGATGCCTGCCGCAGGGTTCACACAAGATTGAAAGGGCAGGCATGACAGCTGCTTCGTTGACGCAAGCAATGCAACAGTAACCAGCGTGAGAGGAACGATATTTGTTTCCATAACTCTCCTCGATTGGTAGTCCGCTCAGATGGGGCGATTCTGGTTCGCCTCATGGCGGATGGGAGCGAGCGGATTGGGGACACCTTCGACGGCAGCGTGCAGCGCTATGCGGCGAGGCTGTCAGAGGTGGTCATGCAGCAGCACGCGGCACGCAAGAAAGACTGGGCCGTTTGGCAGGTGCGGGGCCTGACAAAAGCTGAAGGTTAGATTGGGGTTTTTGCGAGATGTATATGGGAGGTCGTTTTTCCCATGCCGGCGTGTTTCCCGTGTTGGGACAGTCCACGAAATCAGGCCTTTGGGAGATTCCTATTTGGGAGAACCCCCTTGTCCAAAACTCGTGGGGCATTCCACGAGTTTCCTTCGAATCCAGCAACAGCCTAAGGAAGCTGAGGATAGGGGCGTCGAATTTTTAGGGACCCCCGAAACTGGTGGTTTTTACCACTAGAAACCCCGATGTAAAGACGATTTGGGGGTCCTCTTGGGAGGTATCTTGCTGGTTCTCACCAGGGAATGACGGAAGGGTCCCAAAACAAACCTTCCTTTCAGGGAATCCCAAAGCATTCCCAGAACCCGAACTCGGAAATTCCCAACCTATCGCCCCAGCAAGCTCACTTACAACCAACCCCTGAAAGGAAGGGGATCCACCCCAAAGGAAGCCAAATCGGATGGATGGCTTTGGGGGGTCATTCCCTTTCTCATTCCCTGCTGAGAATCAGCAACTATAGCAGGCAACCAGCAAAAACCGCGCTGTAACACCTAGTAAGAAACCCTGTTTACCTAGTAGAGGGCCCCTGAAAGGGAGGAGAAGGGTTCTAGGGGTCCATTCTTTTCAGCCATCGTTCTTTTCAAAAACCAGCCATGTCCCCAGGTTTTTTGGTGGTTTCTGGACAGATTCGGATCCCTGGATTCAGAATGGGGAAGTTACCCCTAGACTACTGGCAAGAGGTCATGGAGAAAAAACAGAAACACCGTTTTCCCCCAAATTGAGTGCTAAGATCAATTTGCTGGTGTCCATTGGAACGATCCGCCACTTCCGGAGGTTCTAAAAAAGAGGAATGGAGGAAGCCCTGAACGCACCAACGTCACGTAAGGTTATAACCATTGGTATAGCTTGGGTTCCCTTACCATGGTATAACCTACCTAAGTTGGCCAAGTGGGACCTTCAACGTGGTGAAGGCTTGACAGGTGAAGGAGGAGGAGCTTGGTGACGAGGCGCGGGAGCTGAGACAGCAGCTGCAGAGTGAGCAGCAGGCGCGGGACAACGCCATGGGCCGGGAGGCGGGGTGGCCACAGGCGGCGGCAACGGTTTTGAAGTCCGTGGCCCGGGCTTTTTTTCTTTTTTCTCTTCCTCCTCTGAAGGCAACATTGGAAAGTGCAACAGGGATTACATACATGAAGTTGTTCGTTTTAAGTGTTGTTTTTTGGTTTTGGGTTGGGGGGTGGGCCAAAAAGAAAGAGGTGTCCTTTCCTGTCCTTCCTGTCTTTCTTTCTTTCTTTCTTTCTTTCTTTCTTCTTTCTTTGTTTCCTGTAAAGGGCTTTTTGGACAACAAACTCGTTTCGTTTCAATCCGCCTGGTTCTTCACCTCCCCGGCCTCCAACCAACCCCTCGTTTTTTCGCCGCGAGGTGGTCCTGGAGCAGGAGCTGCGCGCGGAGCGGCGGCGGCGCATCGACCTGGAGGCGCAGGTGACGCTGGCGGACACCTGGAAGGCCGAGGCGCGGTGAAAGCTCCGGTGACTCGCGGTCAGGGTGGGCGCCTCGGGCCTCGGTTCGGGGTTCGGGGTTCGGTGAGGGTGAGACACGGTGGTGGACTCGGGCGGTGAGATTGGCATCCAGTTGTGGGATGGCTCGGGGTTTGTCACTTCTGTACAAGGGAATCCCCTCTTTAAATGGGGGGGGGGGGGTTGGGGGTAGTCTTTGGTTGGGCTGCTTTGTTGTAGCGCAGAGGCGATCATTTCAGCGCAGCCCTGGGGAATTGAATCATTCCGTTACGTCTCTGAACGAAAAGGTCCATTTTCCAAAAGGAGTTCCTGCAAATGTGCGAGGTTCTGAGCCAACTGGGTGCGGTCTGGAATGGGCGGCGGGGGTACTTTTTTTGGAGGGCACATGTTTGGGTGGTGGTGGTCCTGGTGGTGGTGGTGGTGGTGGTGGTGGTGGTGGTAGTGATGGTGGTGGTGGTGGCGGTCGTGGTGGTGGTGGTGCTTGCGGTGGTGGTGGTGGTGGTGGTGGTGGTGGTGGTGGTGGTGGTGAAGGATTGAAACTGCCAATTTGGAGTCCACATGTCAAAAGAGGGATCTGGACCCAATCACGGTTTTCTTTTGGTTTCCTTTCAAACCCACCTGGACAGGGCACTGTCAACTCCTTTTTTGTTTGTTGTTTTTGGTGTGTGTGTGTGGTCCCTTTGTAAGCCATTTTGCGCCGATTGCAAAAACAACCATGGCAAGCATTTGTGTAAAGCCGCTGACGGTCTTTTTCTTTCTGCGCAAAAGGCCGCATCATTTGTTTTTCGAGGGTTTTCTCGAGGTCCAAGTTGCACCCGAATCTGCTGTTTCCCTTGGGAAAGCCAAAGAAAAATGACCCACCAGTTTCCAATCCAACAGCCAATCGACGGGGTGCCATTTCACCATTTGATCAACCATGGTTTGCCATTTTGAAGCAATCCTCTCCGCAACCGGAACCTGCCCTCCCAAAATGAGTGGTTTCCTTTCGGCGTCCACTTAAGACCACCCCACGAAAGGGTAGCCTCAAAAAGGCAGACCCAAATGGCCATCACGCACAACCTATGGCTCCATTTTGGGGTGGATGAACATCCATTTGCCACCTACTTTGATGTTCACCAGGGGTTTCCTGGGTTTTGACCCACGCCCCCCCCAAAACCCTCCTCCGCCCCTCCTCCCCTACCCCAGGCCGGCGCGGCCGACCGCGCGGCGCGGCTGGCCAGCTCGAACTCCGCGCTCGCCGCGGGCGCGGAGGCGGAGGCGGCGCGGGAGTGGAAGCGCCAGGCTGGATGGGCGGGGGAAGATTTTTTCTCCACAGGTAGGGCACACTTCCCCATTCTTTCAGGATATGTTGCTGGGCGTATTCTTTACCTCATCTTGGAAGCTTTCAAAAGCATAAATTTCCCGTGGAATAGGTAGAATGGAGAGGTGGTTTGATCGATGGAGCCATTTTAATTTCTCATTTTACCAGCCTGGCTGTTAGCATTGTGACCCAACACGTTAGAGTGTGGAAGAGAACGCCCAAAAACCTGTTCACTGGAAAAAGGAGGCGCTTTCCGCTCGGACCGAATATAGGGAAGTTGCGGTGCTTCGTAGATTGATCCGAAGGCCAAGCGGACATGTTGTTTTCTCTTCGCAACTGAAAGCCGTGGGGTTTCTCTGCCGAGATAGGCTGGTTTGGGCAGCTTTCAGGGGGCTCTTGGCGATCCACACTTGGCCTTATGTCTTGCTAACCATCTTTTCATTGGTGGCTTGGAGTGTTGGTTTGAGACGTGACTGGCAAACCAAACACCAGTCCAAAGCAGCAATTGGGGGGAATCTGCTCCTTTTCAGCGTGGTTACAGAGCCAAAGGTCAGTTCCCGAGTCGAATCCGGAGTTGGAACCCCAAACTGGGCCATCCCCGACAACTGTTGGGTCCCACCCAGCTGATTCCCAATGTTCGTTTGGAGGACAACCCCATAAACTTTGCCAACCATGGGAAGAGCCTCAATTGTTCCATGCGTTGTGAGGAACAAAGAATGAATGTTTTCTTGCGTCGGCCCCCTCCTTGTTGCTTTTGCTTGTCGCGGCTGAGGATTAAAGTGATGAGCCTTTGCCTAATGTTAGCCCTCTTCTAGAAGGCATTTCCGATGACTTGTTTGCAACGGTCAAGGGCGTTCCCAAAGTGCACGCTGCTAGCTTGCTTCCCTAGACTAAGCCCCTTTACATGGCATTCTTTTTCCCACGCGATGGCCAGTGTTCCGAAGGATTCCAGGCAGGTATCCTTTGGGCGGCCTTGCGGAATGAGAGACTCCAACAAAATCCCAAGGCAGACTCCAAACAGTCTCGCCATTATTCGGATTTGGCGGATCTGTCCATGTCCATGTCGTCCGTTTTCTCCTTTTCTCCTCTTCTTCTTTTTTCCGTCGTTACTCTTGCACGTCAAACAAATCGTTGGTTTGGCTTGGTTTGGAATTTGGACCCCCCCCCTCTCCCCCAAGGGTAGCCCCCCTTTTTTGTGGGGGTGGGAGTGGGGTGGGGTGGTTGGGCGAGGTTACCCTGGCTTTTCTTGTTTGCTATTGGCTTGGATTTTTAGATTTCAACTTTTCGGGAAATCAAGGGGTTTGCCAATAAACTCACAAAACATTTTCTTTATTGCAAGGGGTCGCAGCAACCAAGTAAAGCAAACCTCCAAAAGTGGCAGATAGGGAATCCACCAGCCAATGATTCACCTTTGATTTGGGGGAACGCCTGTTTTTGAGCCAACTTAGAGCTTCGGGTTTTGGATCTCTTTAAGGGTTGGGGGACTGATCCGAAGATGACTTGGCCAATGACTTGGAACCATTCTTTGCAACCATCCTTCTTTTCAAAAACCGGATCTGTTTCTGCGGGTTTTTGAGGGTTTGGGTTTCCTGAAAAGATTCGGATCCCTGGATTCAGAATGGTCAAGGTACCCTTGGTCAATGACTTGGACCGCCTCTCCCTCTGCTTCCCGCCGCGCAGCGCCGCCAGGCCGCCGAGGCCCGGCGCGCGGAGGCCAAGGCGGCGGCCTCCGCGCAGCGCGCGGAGCTGGCGGCGCAGTCCGCGCGGAAGGAGAAACGAAGCGAAGCGAAGAAGGCGTCCCTTTGATCGGTTAGCCAGGGAACATAGGTCTGCTTCGAAAAGGTCAGAAGCCGGTCGACTGAAAGCAGAGGTGCCCTTTGGATCGGTTAGTTTGGTTAGCAATAGAAGGGTTCCACTGGTGTAGATGGGGCTTACTATAGATCAGTTGGGTTGAAAATAGATGTGCTTATTCCATTGTTAGTTTGGTTAATACTAGCAGGCACTGGTTTAGATGGGGTTTAATTCCATTTACCAGCGCCATCTATTTTTCCAAAAGGACACCTATGCGACCGAAGCGAAGAATCGAGTCAAAGCGAAGTGAGGGGTTCCGGGTGGATGGCGGATGGTGGGGGGGGCTTCCAAAAAAGTCAAAAAATGGGTTGGAAGCTCCAAAATGGCTGAAGATGGCCGGTGGTTGGGGGGCCAGAAAGTGATTGGAGTGTCCAAAATCGATTTAAGGAGCTACCAGCGGTTCTAGGGGGTTCCAAAATTGAATTTGAACCTCCAAATGTGTTAAATGAGGGATGAACCCAATGTTGGGCTATCATGGAAGTCGAAACCCGCTAAGGAGTGCGTAACAACTCACCTGCCGAATGGAGTAGCCCCGAAAATGGATGGCGCTCAAGTGGGTGACCGATGCCTAACCACTGACGCAAGCGCTTCGTCAATGAGTAGAAGGGCGTACGGATTGAAGCAGCTTTTGGCGTGCGCCTAAGCGAAACAGCTTCTGGTGCTTTCCAACATGGGTTCTTGTTGCAAGCTCATGTTGGATTTTGGGGCTCGAATGTCCACCTGGTTGGTTATACTCCCCAGTTTTCCTTCTTTTTCTTGTGTGTGTGGGGGGGATTCTCTTTGAAGTCAGCCCCAAAACTGGTGCCATGTGACAGACACTCTTGTGGTTGAACGCCCTTTGGATTAGAAGGGAACCGCGTGTTTCTCAAAATGGATCTTGGACCCCCTTTAGAGTTTTCAAGGGCGCCACTGTTGACCCTTTTTGGGAAACCTGGTTGGTTTTTCAAGTGTTGTGTTTTTTTCTTTTCTTTTTTGGGGGGTTCAAGGGACTCCGAAAGGAAACCAGTTGGGTGTCCCATGTTTGACAAGCGTGGAGTAATTTGGGTGACACGTTGAATGGGTTCAACTAGGGCTTAGGCTGCTCTACACAAAATGCACGCATGGTTCGGACACATGGATGCCAGATGAGGCCAGCATGGCCTTGGAACTTGGTGCTATCCGATGGCTTGGAGGCGAGGAACCCGTGACTTGACGCTCGGAGCCTATGAACTTAGGAACTGAGTGGAGCGAACGTTTGCGGCAATCCATGTCACCACAAGCCCAACCCCCTGGGCCAACACCCAAACCCACAAAACCCACAAAACACCAACCTGAATTAACCCCAAGCCCCCAAACAAACCCAGCCCAAGACCCCAAAGCCAAACCCACCTCACCCCCTCAACCCACCCCAAGCCCCCAAACAAACCCACCTTACCAACCCACCACGCCCAAGCCAACTGGCCAACGAACGCCTCGCAGGAGCTGAATCGTCACCTGGAGGAGCGGGAGCAGCAGTTCAGCGTCCGCGTGCAGGCGGCCCGCGCCTCCGAAGCAGAGGTCCTGGCGGAGGCGACGTCGGGTCCGACGCCGGCGAAGGTCGGGAGCCGTGCCGTGGGGGTCTTAAGGTTCTTGGCGGTTCTTCGGCCGTCCCCTGAGATTTTTAGCGGGTTTTAGTTGGTTTAGTGGGGGTTTACCAACAAGATTTGGCCAATGGTGTTGGGTTTCCATTTGACCCGCGGATCTGAGGCGAGACCAGCGTTAACCCCAGACCCCTTTTCAGGAATATGGGGGGTGGTTTTCAAAGAGGGGTTTGTGTATCCGCGGTCAACCTTATCCCTGGGCAGCGTCCTGTTTTGCCATGCTTTTCCTGGCTGTTTTCTCAACCTCGAAAAGGGCAGCCTAACGCGGATGCAGCTGTTTGGAAGAAGTGAGGCCAACAGTTGGCAGAGTAGACCGGTCGTGGCAAGGTGTTGGCTTTGGTTGTGGCAGCATGTGATACCAAGAGATTCCCCCAATTAATCCACATGGGGCTGTCCCACATACTTCTGGCCGAAATCCGCTTGGCACCAGTTTTGGGCATGTGGTTTAGTCAGTATTCATATCGGGCTTCATCCATCCGCGGTGCAAACCATTTGGTCCACCAGCCTCGCGCGAAAGGCGTGGCGCATGTCGGGGGAGCTCCGCAGCGAGTTGGACGCCGTGCGCTCCGAGACCCCGCGGCAGAACGAGAGCAGCGCCAGACAAGCCCTGCAGGACTTGAGGGAACTCCGACAACGCTACAACGACATGCAGTGATACTTGCTAGTTCCCCCAGCAGTGCCCTTTTACCGTTTCTTTGTTTGGGGAGGGTTCCCCTACTAAAATAGACTGCAGAGAAAAGGAGTACTCTTATTCTAACCTCTCTACTGCATCCCCTTGTTCAAAGCAAGGGATTTGTGCCGTTTGCTCTCACCCTTCTGCAATTCGCCCGGGTGTGGCCAGCGACAAGTTTCACCGCTTCACGAAGCAACATGCGCAAAACGCGCCCGTCCGGATCGTGCAAAGGGATGCCAGCGGAAGAGGTTTTGGAGGGCCCCTTTGGGCAGATTCACGATCTCATGCAGGTTGGGCCCACACAGGGGGTTTTGACCATGACATGTGCGGCAGTGCTCCAAGCAAGCCTAGGTACAAAGCATCCTCTGGGGTGTCTGCCTTCGCCGTTGACAGGTGTCGCGGCCTGTGGTTCATGTCTCGGAGAGGCTCACTGCAATGGAGCTCCTGTCCAAGATGGAAACCCCACAGGGATGTGCAGTCACCGTAAAGCAACCAGCCACCATGTCAACTGAATATACGCTGGTCTAGGGGGCAGCGACTTGGATTCCATGGGAGTGGGAGTGCCAGGATTTCGAAGGCTTCGGCAGACCAGCGAGCCGGCCGAGCCGGGGCCCCCGGAGCTTGGGGAGTACCTCGGTTCAGGTGCCGCGTTGGTTTCGAGTGGATCCCTTGTGGATGGCAGCTGCCTTGTCACCTTACAAAGGGAGATGGAAAGCCAGCAGTTTGGCTTGCGCGAGCAAATAGGGAGATGCAGGCTCAGCAAGTCCTATGTCCGTGCCGCGCTGGAATACCAAGTTTACCTATATCTAACATCCATGCCGCTGTCGATTGCTTCGGCTCATGCCCACTTTGGGGCAAGTCAGATGCTTGGGCCATTGGGCAGCTGAAGAGGAGCATGCTGGACACGGCCATCCCAGCGTTCGCCGCGCCGAAGCCGGCGTGGCAGCCTTGTCCCAGTGCCGCCCGAGCCCCAAAGACTCCGATTCGGAGGGAGGGTGAACGGAACCAACTTCGATGGCTGACAGGCCTGAGCCTGGTCACCTGCATGGCCAAAAGGGAGGCCCAAAGAGAGGCCCAAAGAGAGGCCCCAGAGGCCAAGCTTAGAGACTTGACGAATTACAAAGTCCTTCTGACCAAGTTGAAGGTGGTTGCAGAGCAGGCCCGGCCTGCTGCTGCGGTGCAACTCTTTGAGGACGCCCTGCCGCGTTTGCAGCCGGAGCGCCTGAAGCGGCCCTTCCTGTGGAACTGCGTCTTGGCCGCTTACGGGAAGGCTGGGGATTACGAGGGCGCGCTGGCCTGGTATGCTCGGATGGAGGCGCACGCCTCGCCGTGGAAGAAGACCTTTGGCAAGATGATGGAGGCAGCCGCCCGGGCGGGCAAGCCAGGGGAGGCCTTGCGTTGGATGCGGCAGATGGAGGACTTCCTGTCGAAGCCATGTGACCCTGAGGCCTTTGGCATCCTCATCTATGCCCATGCCGTCGCTGGGGACCCAAAAGCTGCAAGGGCCTGCCTTCAGGAGAAGATCCGGCGCTATGGGCAAGCAAGCCTCATAGACTACAACACGGTGGCGGACGCCTTCGCAAGCAGCGGCCAGGGCGAGAAGGTGCAGCCCTTGCTCCAAGAGGCGGAGGCTGCGAACCTGAGCTTGGACAAGACCTCCTACACCGTGTTGCTCACGGCGCAGGCTCGCAGCACCAAGGCGCGGGGCTTGGATGGGCTTGGGCTCATTTGTTGACACGTGTTATCACGTGTTTGAATTACCATCCTCTCCTGTCGGTTTCCCTCCGGGGGAAGGGTCTGCTTGTCACAAATGTGGGTCACAAAAATAGGGTGCTCCCACCATGGAACCCTGGTGAAATGGAACCAAGGACTAACATCTGCGGTCCTTCTACGGATGGACAAAATCCTGCACTACTTTGAAATCATGGTTGACTCCATTGTTTGTTGTATTTACAGGGGGATCAAATCATCATTCCAGGGTTTCTTAGGCCGAACAAGTGCGAAAAAGGATTTCGCAACCATCCACAGTATGTGTGACCACCCGGCCATGTCCACAGTTTGGCCGCAAGTTTTGACCCAGGCGCAGCGCGCGCTGGAGTGCCTGGGCTCCATGCACTCCGCCCGCTTGAGCCCAGACCTGGTGGCGCAGAACGCGGTGATCAGCGCGTATTGCCAGGACGGCCGGGCGCGGGAGGCGCGGCTCCACTTGCACCAAGTCATGGAGTCCAACTTGCAGGTGGGAGGAAAAACCGTCCGGGCACGGGTCTGGTGCAATTTTTTCCACTAGTTGTGTTTTTCCCCCCGGGCGAGTTTTTGTTTGAACCCCTGGAATCCGTAAGTCAGAGTGTAGCAGATCGCTGAACAAGTCACTGAGTGGTTGGGTTTCTCACCTTTTAACCAATTCTTACTTTCCGTTTGGTCTCCCAAATCTGATTAAAAGCAAAATCGGGTGGTCCCATCTCGCGAGGGCCTTAGGGGTTGATTCCCCGTCCTTTCAACCATCGTTCTTTCGAAAACCAGATCCGTTTTCCCTGGGAATCCGGAGGTTTTCTAGAAAGATTCGGATCCCTGGAAAGAATGGGGAAGGTACCCGTAGAATCTCTTTGGTGCATTTTGCTTGGATGTTAGGACTAATCGGTTTTCCGTATTAAACCACCGAAGGTTATTCACTTTTAGCAGGGGAGCAGAAAGCAACCAAGATCTCATGTTGTTCGCGCTGAGGTGGCCATGGGTCAAGAACCCCGTTTTTCCAGTGAACATCCCAATCCAACCACTAAAAACATGTTCTATAATGGGTGGTGCACCTACCCCAAAATGGGATCCCATTGGTTTTGAACCATGGCCGGGTAAGCAACCAAGACTCTCACCTTGTATAAAATTGTTGAATTCCTTTTGCCACCCCCCCATCTGACCAACAAAAATTAGGTCCCATCTCATGTCGTTTGGCAGCCCCAAATCTGACCAAACAAGATCGGGTCCCATCTGACCAGAATTTGGGTCCTTGGTCGTTCACATTTGTTTTGCTGCTTCGATAGGCGTTCATGAGTTGGAATGACCGCATCGTCCAGCTGAGGTACCCCTAGAATCTCATGTCGTTGCTGAGGTGGATGCCTTGTCCTTCACGCCCATCCTGCAGCTCTGCGCGCGCACGGGCCACGTGGAGGAGGCCCTGAGCTGGCTGCAGGCCATGGAGAGCCGCCATATCCGCCCGGACGTGGCGGCCTACACCACGGTGATCTCCGCGTGCGCCAGGAGCGCCAACGCGGAGGTGCAGCTGGGGGCTGGGTTCCGTGGAGCCTGATTACAGGGATGCCCAAACGGAGGTGTTGTAGCTTGGGGACCACAACTAAGTTGGGGTGTTCCTTTCGGAAAATGGGTGGTGTTCCTTCTCTTGAGCCTCAAAACGGATTCGCCCAAAAAACAGTGCAGGTGGAGGTGCAGTTGTGGGGGTGGTTTCTTTGTACCCTTCAAAGCAGGGATGCCCAACAGCAGGGCAGTTTTGTGGTTTAGCAGGGATGCAAAAAAAAACCAAAAAACTGAGGGCAGTATTTTTGCCGTTTTGCCCCAGCTGGAAGCTATGGGGTCTCTGCCCAAAAATCGGCTGGCTGTGGTTTACGGCAGGCAGCTTTCGGGGGAAGTTGAAAAGAGATTCGGTGCTGGGGATCTCACCGGGCGTTTTCCCTTTTCGGAGGCCGCGAAGCGGGTCTTCGCGAGCATACGCGCGGCGCAGCTGCAGCCGGACACTGCGGCCATGAACAGCTTGATCGACAGCTTCGCCAAGTGCCGGGCTGCTTCGGAGGCCTTGGAGTACCTGAGGGCCATGAGGCGAGGCAACGCAGGGCGAAAGAAGAGGATGCGGACGGAGGTCCTGGCGAGGAATTACCGAGTTCTGCTTTGTACTCGGTTGCCCAGTGGTGCCCTTTTTCGCGTTTTTAGTTTTTGGTAAGGGTTCCCCGTTGAACTCAACCAACAAAAAGGGTGCCCAATTTTTCCCCATGGCCACTGGGCATGTAAGTCTAGGGAAAGCGCAAAGGAGGTGGTGAAAAGAAACCCATACCGTGGAGCTTTGGGTCTTTTGAGTATTAGGGCTGGCGCCCTGAAAGGGAGATGGGCCTGACGCCGTCACTGAAGACCTACACCTCCATCATCACCGCGCTGGGGAAGTTGCAGGACACGGAGCGCGCCTTCGCCCTGATGGAGGACGCCGTTGCCCAGGGCCTCCGCCCGGATTTGACGATCTGCAACGCCCTGCTGTCCGCGTGTGCGGCCGCCGGCGACGCGGTGCGGGCGCGGCAGGTCTTCGCAATGATCCCGAGCCATCGACTGAAGCCGGACATGCACACGTACAGCGCCCTGGTGCATGTCTATGCGAGCTTGGGGCAGGTGGAGGCTGCTGCCGGGGTCATCGCCGACATGCAGGACGCCGGCCTTGTGCCCAACAAGTTTGTGTGGGCTGGTATGCTGAAGGCATGCCAAAAGGCGCGGGATGAGGCTTGGGCCTGCGTGGCCTTCCGGATGCTCCTCCGAAGTGGGACGCGGCCGGATGAATTCATCCTGGCGCGGCTGAAGGCAACTGTCGGGCCAGCCATGGCAGCCAAGCTCGGCGCCGGCTAGTGCAAAAGCCGCGGTTTATTCTGGGTCTTCTGGTGGTGCTCAAAATTACTTTTCGGGGTTGTTTCTCTTCAAGCCATTTTAAGGATGTTTTCAAATATGTCACTCTCAGACGGTTGCGCTCGAGCTTTTGGATTCTGGCTGCGACGCAAGGCTGGCCGTTTGGGCCCTGGCCACTCGTACCGCCTTCCACTCAGAGCATATGGGTGTTTCGTTTTTTTGGGGACCCTACGGCTTGGCCGATTCTCTTTGCAACGCCCCAAGATCACGAAGCTAGGCTTGTACTCGTCCGCGGCATTCGAGAACTACTTCCCTAAGTTTGCGCCGGGCAGCCCAAGGGGCACATGCTGCCTGGTCTTGTCTACTTGCCTTGAGGCCCCTGCAAATGCTGCACACGCCGATGGATCCTGTCCTGTGCGCCATCAGTCTCACATCAGTAGCACAGAGTCTGGGCTTGAACTGCTTGCATGGGAGTTGTTTCCGCGCCCATGCCCTCAGCCGTTTCAGCCCAGTAGCTGATGGGCACACCTTAACCCGTTACCTTACGTTACAGAACCATACATAGCCCCTTGGCTGGACATTGTCATGATGCACGCTGGCCGCATGTACCGGCAAAGTGGCAGCCGAGGCACCTTACTACTCCATGCCTTCTTTGCCGGGCCCTCGTGGCTGTCACCCCCCGCATCGAAGGTTCTTTTGTGCCGTATCAAGGGCCGTCCGTTCTTTTTCGCAGCAGGATGTCTTTTTCTTTTTCCCGTATCGTCTTAGGATCACAGTATAACCATCCATCCCTGGTGGTTTCCTTTAAGAGAATCGATTCGCCTTGGAAAGCAGCATGTCCTTCCCGGGCTTTCTCGTACGCATCTCAAGGTCCGGCGTCGCTTTGCTGCTCCTGGTGGAGTGCGCTGCTAGCCAAGCCCCAGCTGGTGGCTGTGATGTGGGACCGTCGCTGGGATGGATTGGTGAAGTGGTGGAGTTCTGTAGCGCGAGAGCTTGACACAGCGGCTGCTTCGTGTTTTTTTTGTTTGGGTAAGGAGCCTGGAAAGGGCAAGCCTTGTGCAGCGCAATCACTCCTCTGCAAAAGTGCTGCTCAAAGTGGAAGACGAGATGCTGCTGAGATGGGCAATGGCAGTTTTGGATCGGGAAGAGCGCTGTTGCAGTCTTCGGTGTGATGTCGCAACGTGCCTGGTGTGTTTGTTGTCTGTGTTCGTGCGTGGGGCACAGGGGGAGAGGTGGGGAGGGAGGGAGGGAGAGAGAGAGAGAGAGAGAGAGAGAGAGAAAGAGAGAGAGTGTGTGTGTGTGAGAGAGAGAGAGTGTGTGTGTGAGAGAAACAGCGACAGAGACAGATGCGTATGATGCAGCCGGCTTTGAGGAAGAATGCCACCAACCAGACTGCAAGGCAGGCGATTCAGCCAAGCCATCCTCAGCTGCACAGCCTCTTTGCCAAGCATGTGACCTTGGCGCTGGTGGGGGAAGGCTTGGGTGATTCCGGCTTCCCTTGGGGGGTGCTGTTCCCGCTGGCCGCGGTGGCGGCGCTGGGCTTCTGCTTCCTCTCCAAGCAGTCGCAGGAGGAGGCCTTTCTAAAGCCCTCCCCCGCCCGTGGCGCCCGGACCTTCTCGGCGGCCGGCGCAAGTGGCGGCGGCGGTGGCGGTGGCACGTCGTCGTCCCCTTCGAACGAGCGGAGGGCGCCGAGGGTGGTGCGACCCCCGGAGGGGCTCCGCTCCCAAGAGCCCTTGGTGTCCCTCTGCTCCCAGCTGGTGGTGCCAGATTCGGTGGAGTGTACCTTGTTGGTGCCCCAGCTGGGCCGGCTCAGTGAAAGCCGCGTGGTCCCCGTTTGCGACCTCAATGGCGGCCTCATCTTCCAGCTGGAGTTCTTCCAAGCCCCCAAACTCGACGGCACCAGGCCGGCTTGTCAAGAAAGCGCCTATCGCAGGCCGCAGTTCTGGGCATTTTCGGTTCCTGAGGCTGGCACTTTACAACCCGGCCCGCGACATGAAGTTCGCCATTTGCCGCAGGGCCACTCAGCCCGGTTCTGCCAGAGGCTTCACCTTCCAAGCGCAGGAGGCCTGACATCATGCCTCCACAAGCGCCCTGTGCAAGTTTGTTTGGGCAGGATTCCAATCGGCAAGCTCACCTCCGGGCTCTGGATAGCGGGTTCCTCCTCTCTGCCACCGGGCGACGGTCCATCCGAGCCTGGGCTGCCAGTGGGTTGGGTTTGATATGGCAAGATAGGATTGGGCCTGGCCGAGGGTTCCGCGCCAACTCCCCGGGGTCGATCAACGCATCCGATGATGACGGGCAACTACTTTCATACTCGGACCCGGCATCTCCGGATTCGGAAGGCAAGATGCTCTGGGATTTCTCTGATGTGCTCACTGCCTTTTGTCTTACCTTGCGCAACCACCAAAAAATGCGAAGTCAAGCAGCTTCTTGCCAGGCATCCCGCGCCTGAGCTTGAAGGTTGGGCCCAAGGTCGATGCAGGCCGGGGGAAAGATGGGAGGCATGGGGCGTGCTCTGCGAGATGCGCCAGGCCTCATGGCGCTGTGCTTCGCTGCCATGGAGCTCCTGGAGACCGAGAAGGGTAGGTGATCGCCTTCGCCCAGATTTCTGCTAGATGCCGCGGAAAAAACAACCTTTGCAGTCTACCTGCCAAAATTACCGGCGTGGCAGTGGGGTTGAAAGGTTGAAAGCACTTGGATAGGTTGCTGCTGGCCTTTCTGGGCGTGCCGCGTTTGGACGTTTTCCCTTGGCCATGGCCTCAGCGAACCGCGGGGCGCGGGGAGCTGTTTGGCGCCCGGCTCCGAAGGCCCACGCCGCCGCCGGCCGAGTCTGTGGCCGCAGCGATCCGACGGCTGCGCGCCATTGGCGCCATCGAGGATGACGGCGGGGGTAGGGTCGAGGGGCCAGCAGTGCCTTTTCTTTGAAAGCTAGGGAACCTACTAAAATAGACTACAGAAAAAAGTTGGTACCCTTATTCTAACCTCTCTACTGGAGGGCCTGGAAAGTCGCGCGCCAGGCACCAACACCGAGGGCCACCCGCTCAGCACCTGCATCTTTCTTCCGAGGCTCGAGGGGCGATCAGCGATCTCTGTGTCAGGTTCGCGGGCGCACGCGGCGGTGGTCAGGCAGGCAAAAAAAAGCCGAGGGGCCAATGGAGCGATTTGTCTTCGGCGCATCTTGCGCCGACCCAGGTGCACCACACTGGGCTACCGTGGCAGCCTTTGGCATTGCAGCCCGCTTGGACTGCCCTGAGCATGTGTGGCCCGCAGGCTTGGCAGCGTTGCCAGTTGTCTGGCCCTCGACTCCCCTGTCCCATCCGGCATTGCTCACTTTGGAATCGGGTTAGGCGCCCCGGTACGCACGGATGCTGCTGGCCGCGATCGGCAAGGCCTTCGGCAACTTGATGCTTCTGCGTGCTATGCTCCCATGCTGGGTTATAAGTTGTAACTGTACAAGTCAAGGGGGAGAGAGACAGAGAGAGAGCGAGAGAAACACATTTAGTACAGTGCCCTACGCAAATCTGGCCAGGAAGAGCCCATCATAGGCCACGCCTGTGCGCTGGTGGCAGCCCTCTCTGCTTGAGCCCCTGGCCGGTGTCTTTCTGGCTTGACGGGCGTGTGTGGCGCAAGGTTGGCAATTTGACCAGCTGGGAGTCCGTGCAGGAGATAGAGGGTCGGGCGCCTCAGTACTCAGCACTTCTGTCACTGTCTGGGGCAACTGGCGGGTGGTGTGCTGTTGTGAATTTGTCTCCCTCACGCGCTTGCAGATACAAGTGCTGGCGGTTTGGAGAGCGAGCTCGTGCGAGCTCAGAAGGAGGTGAGAAGCATGCCAGCACACATGAAGGTCAAGCAGAGCCCTGCGTAGGCACAGAGGCGACTAGATGAGGCGACCAAGAAAGATGCTCCAAAGTGGCAGCTGCCTCATTGGCTGGTTGATTTGTTGACCTGTTGACTTCCTTTTGCATCTGTCGAAATTTTCTTCGTCTCAGGAGTCAGCTTCGGGACGATGCCGAGGGCCTGCTGTGGCTCATGGGCGCCTGCCTCAGAACTGTCGGTTTTCACTCGGCTCCAGTGGTCCAGGCGGCTACGCGTGGGCTGCGCAGGGCGGTCAGGCGGAACCCTTCTGCCAGAAGAACAAAATCAATCCGCGACAGATGGCAGAGGCGGGATGAAACAAATATATCAAAAAACCCTCGCGCGAGCTGGCGGGAGGGGAATTTTCCATGGATCACGTGAGGAATTGGACACCCCAGGAGCTGAGATGACTTGATTCGGCTTCGGGAAAATTCCTCTTGCTTTTTTTCTCACTTGTCCAAAGCTGACCTTTTAACCAAAACGGTTTCCGTTTTGGTCTAAATTTTAAAGGTGCCGAAAGGAGCTTTCATTTCCAGGTCCTTTGGGCAATTGCGATAGGCGCACAGCTTGATGCAGCAGCTGGCAGAGCTTTTGAAGCCACGTCCTTGGACATGTTCAGCGGGCTTCAATTTTGTTGGGATCAACCGCAAAGGATTGAATTGGTGGACCAAGTCTTCGTACCCACCTTTCGGTCACTGCTTGGAATCGATATTATTTTTTCATTTTTCAGCTGGGCTTTGTGAGCGGCTCCTGCTAGCCTTGAGTTGCTCCGAGGCGCAGGCTGTCCTTGTCATGGGCTCAGAGCTACTCTTCAGCCCGCGTGGCCGCGTTATTCTTCCCCGCAGGAGATTACATGGAGCCCGGAACGCAAATCCCAAATATTTGTTTGCAGGGCAACACCCATCGTGTTTCAGGGTTTTGCCAGCCGTGCAAACCATTTAGGGGTCGTTGAAGGGACTGAACTCCATGAGCTTGCCGGATGCCTGAAAACATGGCGGTGGGGTGTTGCGCTCGTTTGTCTCCATTTGCCACCCAAACAGCGTCCAGAGGGCTTCGGGCTTCAACGTGGATGCAGCTTTCTAGGAGTGAGACCTTTGATGTACTAGATCCCCTCCAATCTGGGACTTGATAGCACGTGATCCTGGCCAAATTGAAGCGAGCTCGCCTGCAAAGTACACCGGGTTCTTCATTTCCGCTTTGTGAAGCCCGCCTGCATGCGTGGTTCTCGAAAGCAGAGCGAGTAGCCCTGACTCTGGTCCTGCGCGGAATGACTTGGGGTTTCATGCGAGGATCGCTGATCTTGAAATACCTACTGCATGTTTCCTCGAGGGCACTCTTTCCTTGGGGTTGATTTTTTGAAGGGAAACCAAAAGAAAGCCATTATGTAGGATCTCGGGTCTCCAACCTTAAAGCAGGAGACGCGGCCATTTGGCTGTGGGTCAACACTGCACCACCCATTTTCGTCTATTTTAGTGAGAATTGGGATGTTCACTGGGGGTGCGATTTCGATTTTGACCCGTGGCCATTTCGTTCTTTTCCCACGAGGCCGGCGCTTGCTCGTTGTGAGGGCGCGACTTGCCTTCAGGTCCAGCCTCGAGCTTCCGCTGCTGCCGCGCCCGCCCACACTGAAGCAGGCGCGCGCTGTGAGCGGCGGGTGACCTCTCAAAGTGGCGATCGTTTCGGGGGAAGCCACCAGCGAATTGGTCAACTTTTTGATGTGGGGATATTTAGTGACCTTTTTTTTTCTCTCCCCGTTGTGGTTTTAGGATGGGGATGGGGGGGTGGGGTGGGGTGGGCCACAAGCCAAAGGGTAAAATGGAGGTCAAGAGCCCCCCGCTAAAGGGGCCCGCGCTAAAGGGGTATGAGTCTTGTTGCGAGGGTACCTAGCTTTGGGGCAACAAGGGAAGCCAAACGGAAAGCGAAGCCAACTTTGGGATTTTCTTGCACGGAACTCTGCGTTGAGTGAGTGCTTCCACAGGGAAATGCAGCTCGGCGTCTTGTGCTCGCAGGGCTCCGCTTTTCTTTGTTTTTTTTTTGGGGGGTGTTGGCTGAGTTGGTACCTACTGTGGATGGCTACGAAATCCATTTCGCATCATCGTTCAGAAACCCAACAGGATGATGCGATTCCCCAACGCAAATGCCACCAAACCTTATGGTTTCAACTCCATGGTGACTCATTTCGTGGTGCGAGCGGATGTCGCTTCTCCATCCGCAGCATGGGCTTGGTTTTGAAGGGAAGCCGCAGCCGACATCTGCACGCGTTCTTTTCGCAGGCGCAGCTACTGCGCTGGGCTCTCGGAAACCCAACCGCCAAGCCGTCCCTGCTTCCCATCGAGGGGGGTCACGTGGAGCTGAAAAGAGAGGTTTGGGATTGGAAGAGGGGACTAGGGGATGAACATGGGACCATGCAGTGACTCAGTATCTAAAAAGCAACTTGTCAACTACCCGGGGTGTGGTACAAGCCATGAGGCGAGTGCGTCGCGGAGGGCCTGCTGGACCGCGTGGCGGTGGCCTGTCCGGACCTAGGCGCCAATCGGTCGGGCGCCGGGAAGAGTGGCACTGTCCGGTCGAAGTCGGGGGTGTCTGTTTTTTTTTTTAACCCCGGAATAGTGTTCTCCCTCCTCTTTGTACCCTTTCTTGTTTCCATGAGTTTGAGCCTCTGAACCGAATTCTGACGTGGCATAAGTTTCTCATTGCAAGCGCGTCAGGGCACCGGGCCTATGTCTGTGCGGACGTTGGGCGTGAGCGCCCGGTCTTCATCCACACTGCCTCCAATGCCTTTCGGCACAGGCGCGCAAGTCTTGTTACTTCGGATCTGTGGGCTGTGGCCTTTGGAGGTTTTGAGCCTGAGGCCTCATCCAACGGTCTTGGTGTTCAACGCTCTCACCTCAGAAGCCGCGTCAGCCTCGGATGTCTCCAGCATTCTGGGTCTCAGGAGATCATTTCCACCCACAAGCCCTTCATGAGGCAGGGTTGGTCCCGCCCCCCCGGTTGAGTCCTTGGTGTTTGTTTGTTTGTTTGTGTGTGTCCCTTTCACGGGGATTCTCGGTTCTCTGCCCCCCGCAACACCTGGATCCCGCGCGCAGGGATTGCATCAGCGTGGATCCGTTGCAGCTCGCGAAGGCAGCATGGAGGGTAAATGCTCTCCTTCTGTTCCTGGGACTTCAAGCGCTGCATCGAGATGTTGCTTGGAATTGCCGCGTGTGAAGGAAGCAACCCGGGTTTTCTCCATAAAGATGGGTGTGTCTTGTTAAGGCGACACTCGAGTTCGCTTGTTTTTGCACTTGGCTCCCCAAGCCACCTGTAAAAAGGGGCCACTTCTCTTCCCAAAAAGAAAACAAGCGCCACCCCAAAAAGGGAGTTCCCTATGGCGGGTTTCCTTCTGAAATTCCAACTGGGGCAACCCGGCGCCCGAGCTGAACCCGGCCAGCGCGCTGCAAGCGGCGGCTGCCCCTTGTTGAGCCTCAACGAGCCGCAGCCCTGGGACTGCGTGGGTTTCGTTTTCGGGTTTGTGGATGCCGCTCGGCCCAATGACATGGAGCCTTGGGCGGGGGGCGGGTCCTGGCATGGTTGTTGTTGGGAAGCATTTTGCATTGTTGCTTATTGTGGTTTAGTTCCCCACTTAAACTGCTAAAATTTAATTTTTTGCTCCCCTTCGAACGTCAACCAAGCTGGTTTGGACTATTTCCCTCAAAACTGAGCCTTCTGGTTGCATGAAAACGTGGACAGAATAGGTTTGGATTGGGAACTGCGGGGGTTCTTCTTCAGTCAGCCAGACCGGGTACCCCTGGTATATCCCCTTGGTATACAACCTCCATAGCTGGAAAAGCCCAAGCCTGGAAATGAGTGGTTTGGATTGGTGGTTGGGGGGTTGGAGCCTCAGTTCTTAAAAGAAGCCAAATTCTAAGTTGCCGGGCACGCACACACTCACACACAGAGAAGAGACACACAGACACAGATACACGCAGACACACGCACAGACACACGCACAGACACAGACACAGACACAGACACAGACACATGCACAGACACACACACACAGAGAGAGACACACACAGACACAGACACAGACACAGACACAGACACAGACACAGACACAGACACAGACACAGACACAGACACAGACACAGACACAGACACAGACACAGACACAGACACAGACACAGACACAGACACAGACACAGACACAGACACAGACACAGACACAGACACAGACACAGACACAGACACAGACACAGACACAGACACAGACACAGACACAGACACAGACACAGACACAGACACAGACACAGACACAGACAGAGACACAGACAGAGACACAGACACAGACACAGACACAGACAGACACAGACACAGACACAGACACAGACACAGACACAGACACAGACACAGACACAGACACAGACACAGACACAGACACAGACACAGACACAGACAGAGACACAGACAGAGACACAGACACAGACACAGACACAGACAGAGACACAGACACAGACACAGACACAGACACAGACACAGACACAGACACAGACACAGACAGAGACACAGACAGAGACACAGACAGAGACACAGACACAGACGCAGACAGAGGCACAGACAGAGGCACAGACAGAGACACAGACACAGACACAGACAGAGACACAGACAGAGACACAGACAGAGACACAGACAGAGACACAGACAGAGACGCAGACAGAGACGCAGACAGAGGCACAGACAGGGACACAGACAGAGACACAGACAGAAACACAGACAGGGACACAGACAGAGACACAGACAGACACACAGACAGACACACAGACAGAGACACAGACAGACACACAGACACACACACACACAGACACACACACACAGAGACACACACACACAGACACACACACACACAGACACACACACACAGACACACACACACAGACACACACACACAGACACACACACAGACACACACACAGACACACACACACAGACACACACAGACACACACACAGACACACACACACACACACACACAGACACACACACACACACACAGACACACACACACACACACACACACACACACACACACACACAGACACACACACACACACAGACACACACACACACACAGACACACACACACACAGACACACACACACACAGACACACACACACACACAGACACACACACACACAGACACACACACACACACAGACACACACACACACAGACACACACACACAGACACACACACACACAGCACACAAACACACACACACACAGACACACACAGACACACTTACACAAACTTACGCAAACATACACAAACTTACACAAACTTACACACACACACACACACTTACACACTTACACACTTACACACACTCACACACTCACACACTCACACACTCACACACTCACACACACACACACTCACACACTCACACACACACACACTCACACACCCACACACTCACACACGCACACACGCGCCCACTCACACACTCACACACTCACACACCCACACACTCACACTCACGCACACACACACACACTCACACGCACCCACACACACACTTACACACACGCACACTTACACAAACTTACACAAACTTACACAAACTTACACAAACTTACACAAACTTACACAAACTTACACAAACTTACACAAACTTACACAAACTTACACAAACTTACACAAACTTACACAAACTTACACAAACTTACACACACACACTTACACACACGGACACACACGCAGACACACGCGCACACACACACACACACGCGCTGACACACACACACACACACTTGCGTACACACACACACTTACACACACACACACGCACACACACACACACACACTTATACACAGACACACAGACACACGCCCACCGACACACACACACACAGACACACACACACACACACCCACCGACACACACACACACACACGCACACCACACACACAAGCACACACACACACACCACCCACACAGAGACACACAGACCGACAGAAAGCACACACAAACCACACACACACCACCCACACAGAGACAGACAGACATACAGAAAGCCACACACACAAACACACATACAGACGCGGACGCGCACAGACACTGACACACACACACACCCACACGCACACACAACACACACACACACACCCACACCGACACCCACACCCACACGCACACGCACACGCACACGCACACGCACACGCACACGCGCACGCGCACGCACGCGCACGCGCACGCGCACGCGCACGCGCACGCGCATGCGCACGCGCACGCGCACGCGCACGCGCTCGCGCGCGCGCGCACGCGCACGCACACGCGCACGCACACGCGCACGCACACGCACACGCACACGCACACGCACCCGCACGTACACGCACACGCACACGCACACGCACACGCACACGCACACGCACACTCACACGCACACGCACACTCACACGCACGCGCACACGCACACGCACAAACACACACACAAACACACGCCCGCACGCACGCACGCACAACCACAAGCACAACCACAACCACAGCCACGGCCACAGCCGCAGCCACAACCACAAACACAACCACAAACGCAAGCACCAGCACAAGCACAAGCACAAACACAAGCACACACCCAAACACAAACCCAAGCCGAAACACAAAAACAATCACAAACACAAACACAAACACAAAGCCAAGCCGAAACACAAACAAAAACACAAGCGCAAGCACACACACAAACACAAACACAAACACCAAGCACAAACACCAAACACAAACACAAACATACACACACAATCGCAAACACAAGCACAACCATACAAAGACAAACGCAAACACACACGCAAGCGCAAATACAAGCGCAAGCGCGAACACAAACACAAACACAAACACACACACACAAGCACAAATACAAACACAAAAGCAAACACAAGCACAACACACACACACGCACACACACACACCAACACACACACACACACATTCCAACACACACACACATTCCAACACACACACACATAAACACGCAAACAGCCGCCCACACGGACAGACACACCGCACACACAGCCACGCGCAGACACACGCACAGACACACATACACACACACCACACAGACACACACCCACACACACAACGTGCACCGCACACAGACACCACACACACACACATTCACGGCACACACACACAGATGCGCACACCACACACAACGCTTGGCGCACACACACACACACACGCACGACACAAGCACACACACACAGACACACACCCACACACACCCAGCACACATACACACACACAATACAAATGCAAAACAAACACCACACACACACACCACGCACATGACACACACACACACCACACACAAAAAGCATGCAACACACGCAACATAAAACACGCCGCACACACACATCCACCACACACACCACACACACACCATACACACACATGTACACACGCACACAGGCAAACACAGACACACGTACATAGGCACATGCGTGCACATGCGTACGTACACACTTACACACATACACTTGTAGACACGTACGCGCGTGCACACCCACACACGTACGCACGTGCACACGTAGACACGTACACACACACACATGTACACCCGCGCGCCCCCACGCACACACACACACGTACACATGTACACACGCACACACGTACACGCGTACAGACGCAGACACGTACACTCACGTACACTCGTGCGCACGTGCCCCAGTACACCCGTACACATCTACACGCTCAGATGCGTACACACGCACGCACATACGCCCACAGACCCTCACACACAGAGACAAACACAGACGCCCACACACAGACACAGCCGCAGGCAGACACACACACACAGACACACGCGCACAGACGCACACACACACACAGAGTCACAACACGCAGGCGCACGCACAGAGATTCGCACACACACACACAGACACACAAGCACACAAAGAGACCCACACACACACACAGGACACACAGACGCAAACAGACACACGCACAGAGACATGCCCACACATGCACACACACACACACATGGACACAGACACCCGCACACACAGGCACAGGCACACACAGACACACACACAAACAAGACCACACACACAGACACAGACAGACACACCACACATACACACACACACAGACACATGCACAAAGACACGCCCCCGCGCACAGACAGACAAGACACGCGCGCACAAACTCAGGCGCACACACAGACACACACTCACAGACATAGACACGCGCAAGGCCCATGTAGAGAGCGCAGCGTTTGCCTTGATGCCGGCATGAGGTTCATTCCCGTCCCCGGGCCACGGTACCTTCCAGAGCAGGAGGGGGGATCGGATCTGGGTGCATCCTTATTTCCAGGCATCCTTTCCAGCCAGCGCCCCTTTGTTCATTGTGGTCTGACAGGGAAGCTAAAGGAGGGGGGAACAACTGCCATTTTGCCCAAAAGGGTGAGTTTGCGTCGATGTCAATCACCACTGGGTTCTGCGCAGCTTCGATGCACGGCTTATTGGCACGGCAACGCGAAGGTTTGCAAGGTTTCAATACTGCTCCATTCGCCTGCTGGGGCCCCAAGAAAAGAGACACATCTGAACTTCGAAAGGAGCGCTCAAAAAGAATAGGGAATCAAGGCCTGGAAAGCTGGGTAGCCACTGCGCGCATTTGGCGTGAGGACAAAGTGCTTGCATTCGCCACGCCGTCCGGCCCTTCCGGTGGCATCGGGTCAACATGATGCAGTGGCTGTCACAGGTCGTACGTGCCCCTGTCGTACTCGCTGCCTACGGTAGAGGCATGGTTCTATTTGCATTCGGGTGCAGGTCAGGAATTCGCCCAGTTGCAAGGTTGAGGTGCCGGCGGATTCCATATTCAAGTACAAGGCAATTTGGCAGTTGGAAGAGTCCCATGTTGCACTTCCTGTGCCCAGGTTTTTGCCAAAGTCCGGGCCTCGGATCCTTGAGGCTGCCTTTGGGGCATCTTTGAGGGCGCGGCTTTTTGGGGGATCCGAAGGGACACCATGCGAAGGGATTTGCCGGCGAGATCGGATCAGGCTTTCCTGGAAGGCCTGGTGGTGCGGCTGCCGCAGGAGCAGCTTCTCGCCAAGCCGTCGCTGCTGCTCCACGTGCCTCGAAGCGAGTGAAAGCCACCCCGTGGACAAGACGCCGCTGGAGGGATCTCCTTCTGGGAATAGCCCCTTTTCCGAGCTTCCTGTTCATGTGCAAGGTTGCCATTGGCTGCTGAAGGCAACCACAAGGGGAGAAAGGGCCTATTGGGCATTTCAAAAAAGCTTGGGGAGGAGGTCTTGTTCGTCCGGACGCTCTGCAGGGTTTGATTGAGGCGCCGACGAACCCCAGAGTGTCTGCCTTGGCCGGCTTCTTATGGAGGGGGGAGGGGTCGAAGCGGATATCGGCCTATCCCGAAGTCCTGAAGGCACTGACACGGAGCCATGTTCAAACGGCACGCCAAGAACGGCGTGGCCCTGCGAAACACTCCACTTCGCGTAAGGTCAGCCCCTTGTGGCAGTTCCGGGTTGGGGCCTCAGGGTCCCAGGACAGGATCTCGGTCCAAGTGAAACTGAGTTGCCGGAAGCTTCTCTTGTGGAGGGCCTCATTTTTTCCAGTGTATGGCTTTGACCCCTTTGCCCCTGTTGACATTCCATTTCTGACATGGAGCCGCGTCGCGTATTTCCATCACTTCAGCCACCGGGTTGCGCGCCAGGGCAGCATACTGGTGGCATCTGGTGCCCACATTCATGTGGGTAGCCAACTTTTGAACTTCCAAGATTGTATGTGTCAAAAGGGCCTCCTTGCATTTGGTTGTTTGTTTAATTTCCCCAAACTCGTTTGAGCGGTCCAATGGTTTTGCGCCACGTGTCCTCAAACCTTTGTCTTGCCGCAGGTCGGGTCACGAAGCCAGCTGCATGAACGTTGGAGGACCGACCGGCGCTTCCTGCTGGAAGGCGGGCGGTTCTGTGGCCAATGCGTCTCGCTGCGCTTTCGTTCGATGCATTCAGAGGCTATCTCAAGTGGATACCCTCCAGCTGTCATGACGATGTGCGCTCGATGCTTGGCTTCGCTGCTTGGAGCTGTGGCCTGATTTCACAAGACTGAGGCATCTCCTGGCCGCCCAGCGCTCCAAAGGACGGAAGCCAGCGCGGTGAAAATCTTGCCGAGCCGGGCGGGGGAAGCGAGCTGAGTGCTGAGAGTGTTTGGTGAGCTTAAGATGCTGACTATGGCTTTCTGGCCATGGCTTGGGCTCAGGGAAAAACGCCGCGTGCCGTGGCTCATGTCCCATGAGCCCCGCCTTTGCTCGGCGATCAGTTCGCATCAGCGGGCCAGCAGATGGCGCCACGGCCTGCAGCTCTACGAGGCGGCGGCGAGGGTCGACGTGGCGTGCTTCAACGCGGCCGTGTCGGGCGCGCGGAGGGCGCAGTGGGCGCAGGTCCTGCGGTGGCTGCGGGTCCTGCCCAAAGGACGGCCGGATGTCGTGAGCCACAGCGCCGTGATGAGCTGCCAGAGCTGGCACCGAAGCTTAGCCCTGTTCCAGGCCATGCCCGAAGCCCAGGTGAGGCCGGACTTGGTCAGCTGCAATGCAGCGATCCGTGGCACATGGCAGCGCGCCGCTCTGCTTCTGGCCTTGGTCAAGGGAAGCTTGCAGCCAAACATCATCAGCTACACTGCTGTCGTGAGCTCCTTGGCCCAAGAGGGGCAGTGGCGGCGGGCTGTGCAACTCTTCGGAAGGGTTTGCGCCGAGACCCGTCCCAGCGTGGTAAGCTACAGCGCCACCATCAGCGCCTGCGAGAAGGGCGGCAGGTGGCACGAGGCTTTGCGCTTGTTCAGCGCCATGCCACCCGAATCTCGGGACTTGATCTGCTTCAGCGCAGCCATCAGTGCATGCGAGAAGGGTGGAATGTGGCAGCAGGCCTTGTGGTTGTTTCAGGCCATGCCTCACTGTCGAGATCTGATCAGTTTCAATGCAACTCTCAGCTCTTTGGCGCAGGGCGGGAAGTGGCAGCAGGGCCTTTGGCTTTTGGAGCTCATGCGAACCCGCGCGATGGAACCTGACCTTATCAGCTACAGCGCGGCCATCTGCTGCTGCGAGGCCGGCAACTGGCTGCATGCCATGTCGCTGCTTGAAGCCATGCTGCTGGCAAAGCTGCGGCCGGATGTTGCGACTTACAATGCGGCCATCACCTCCTGCCAAAGAAGCGGCGCATGGCGACACGCCCTGCATTTGTTGGTGGCCATGAGCGAGGCCGAAGTCGACCCAGACGACACCAGCTACAATGCCGCCATCAGCTCCTGTGAGACCCGCTGCGAGCGCACCGCTCGGGACGACACGTCACGCGCGACTTGCGCGTGACGTGAGCCTCTCGAGGAGCTTTCTCGGGTGTGATGTGACAGCCCGTGGCCAACTTTCGAGATTTGGCGGAGCACGTCAAGTTGTCAAGTCCACGCATTCGGCGGACTTCTGAGCACCCTTTTTCCCTGCGGCCTGACACAAAGGGAGGGAAGTGGAGATTTCACGCATTCTTACTTGGGCCCCCGAAGGGCATGCAACATCGGCGTGGTTCGAGAAGCCAGATGGCTTTTTGCAAAGAGCCAAAATGATACGTGTGAAAGAAGAAGCACACTGGCATGGATTGATGCCCTGTCCTTGGAACGCACTGATGGGAAACCCGTTCAAGCGACTGCTAGGGCTTCGAGTTCGTTTGATGGGTCCCAGCAAGCAAATCCCTTCCCCTGCGGCTCAGCTGGGTGGTGGCTGATTGTTTGAGCAACGAGCTCTTGAGGCAGAGGAACTTGTACACGGCACCAAGCGCAACGCAACCTTACCAGATACTCATCCATTGCAGTGATCCTGATTCAATGACTTCCCCCAGTAGCCCGGCATGAGGTCATCTAATATACAACTAGTCAGTTCTCCAACCGAAGAAAACGCCTTGGGGGTCCGGGGAGTTCCGAGCAGCTTTCAGGGAGGCTTCCGGAGATTTTCAGTTCTAGGTGCCGGAGCTGTTGCGGATACCGCTTGGGGTTGAATACCTAGGGCGGCGCCTGGTTGGATTTTGGAACTTTTGCCCTCTCGAGTCTCTTCTGGCTCCAATGGGCTTCCTCCTTTCCGGCCCAAATCATATTTCGAGCAGGTTGCGAGTTGCCATAGTGTAGGTTTGCATAGGTTGAATTGTGCCCGCCGAATACGACCGCAGCTGGGGTTGGCAATTGTGAGTGGAAGCCAAGAAGGTAACACCTGTGGGTTGGACCCATCTCACAGACTTCCGGGGCTCCCACAAAGGCCCAATGGTGATCTCCAAGCTGCACCACTCGGCCAAAGGCGAAAGCCGAGGGGCGCCATTCAGACGGCGTGGTCCTCGAAAAGGCACGGGCCTCGCAAAATTTGTCGATCTCTTGGAACCCGCGACTTGTTTTCGCCTCTCACGAATCCAAATCGATGCGTCGCTGCGTACCGGTACAGCATGTGGCCTCTTCGTAGAGGTGCGTGGATCCCCGCAAACCCTGACCAGAATTGATATCCTGTGTGATGTGGGTAGTTGGTTCCTGTTTCACAAAGGGTTGACGTTCATTGGGGTCAAAAACATGTTTTGGCTGAAGGAAAAAAGGAAGTCATAGTCAGTTCCAACCTTGAGCGGCCGGAACAGTTCTCTAAGGGAGGGTGCTTGGGCTAAAGCAAATCAAGGGAAATAAGCCATCAAAGCCAGCAATTGGACAAAATCCATACCAGTGAGCAGTCAATGGAAAAGCACAAAAGCAAAAATCAACTGATTGATGCTAGAAGTCTGGGGTAGACTTAGGGATAGATTTTACATTTTTCCAGTTACTCAAAGTGAAGCAAACAGTAGAATATACATTCTATTATTGGGCCTAACTCTAATCATGAAGTGTGTGTGGATCTAAGAAGAGTGCGTTCTGAGTTCTTAATGGTCCGAAGGTCTGAAAGGAGCCACATTAACACCTGAGTAATTGCCTCCCCCGCTTGAGAAATCTAAGGGGGGTCAAGGAGGTGCCCTTGCTCGAACTGAACGCGGGCCAAATTTCAATGAAGGCCTGAAGGTTGGGGTCCTCTTCTCGTTTGTCCAGGGCGACGTTCAAGCTTTTGGTTTCCCATGTTTAGTCAGTCATGCTCAGCCATGGTTTCCTTGGAAGCGTGTCACTGTTCTGATGGCCTTTCAACATCTTTTTTTTTATAATGATTAGTCATGTCGTTTGTTAGGTCAAGCTTGCCAGGTCCTACCGGCTTGCGAGCAACGCAAGTTGGCTGCGGTATTCAGATACGGGCTGCCTGATTTGCCGCATTTTGGGGGGATCCCTTGCTTGTCAGCGACCATTTTCCTTTACAGCCGGGCCACGGGGGGCTTTGACGGCGACACACAGCGTCTTTGCCGCGCGCATCTGAGAAAGTCCACGAAGAAAAGGGACGCCGCTGGTGTCCTTGTTGGTTGGTTTGGTAGAAAAAGAGATGGCGATTCCTGGTTTACCTGGTGGTTTATCCATCTACCAGGGCCATCTATTTGCCCTAAAAGGACACCTATGGACGACGCCGCTGGTGCAGGATTCCGGTCTCTTGGAAGACCCGCGCGACTCTCGGCTCAGGGGGTGAAGAAGAGCTTCCGCCCGATTTGCTTCACAGATCGCACACCTCGCACTACGGTAGGGGTAAGTTCATTTTCCCTTTCCCTGACAACTCTCAGACCAGCGATTTCTTCGAGGTAGGCATGACAGCGAACTGAGATCTGCCCGAGGCAGGTCAAGGCCGAAGGAGCTTGCAGAAACGAGAGATCCGCCCTTGCCAGAAATGCCTGGAGATGTCTGGGGATGGCCTAGGCACCAGCGAGAAACTGTGTGTGCGTGTGTGTTTGTGTTTGTGTGTTTGCGTGTGCTCTTCTTTTCTTCTTCTTGTGCTTGTGTGTTTATGTTTATGTGGGCATGGGTGTCTTTGTGTGTGTTTGTTTGTCTGTGTGCGCGTGTTTGCGTGCTTGTGTGTGTGTGTGAGTTTGCGGGTTTGCACTTGTGTGAGCGTGTGTTTGTTTGCGTGTTCGTTTGCTTGGTTGCTTGGTTGCTTGGTTGCTTGGTTGCTTGGTTGCTTGGTTGCTTGGTTGCTTGGTTGCTTGGTTGCTTGGTTGCTTGGTTGGTTGGTTGGTTGGTTGGTTGGTTGGTTGGTTGGTTGGTTGGTTGGTTGGTGGGTTGGTGGGTTGGTGGGTTGGTGGGTTGGTTGGTGGGTTGGTGGGTTGGTGGGTTGGTGGGTTGGTGGGTTGGTGGGTTGGTGGGTTGGTGGGTTGGTTGGTGGGTTGGTGGGTTGGTTGGTGGGATGGTGGGATGGTGGGTGGGTCGGTGGGTCGGTGGGTCGGTGGGTCGGTGAGTCGGTGGGTCGGTGGGTCGGTGGGTCGGTGGGTCGGTGGGTCGGTGGGTCGGTGGGTGGGTGGGTGGGTGGGTGGGTGGGTGGGTGGGTGGGTGGGTGGGTGGGTGGGTGGGTGGGTGGGTGGGTGGGTGGGTTGGTTGGTTGGTTGGTTGGTTGGTTGGTTGGTTGGTTGTTTTGTGTTTGTTTGTTTGTTTGATTGGTTGGTTGGTTGGTTGTTTGTTTGTTTGTTTGTTTGTTTGTTCGTTCGTTCGTTCGTTCGTTCGTTTGTTTGTGTGTTTGTGCGTTGTGCGTTTGCGTGTTTGTGTGCTTGCGCAGGTGTGTGGTTGTGTCCGCGTGCGTGTCAGTGCCTGTCGTGCAGGCTACGAAATCCTTGGCGCCGTGAAAGTCAAGGAGTAGCTCAGGGCTTTCACGGGGCTTCACGCTTTCCAAAGCCCCGCCAGGATGGACTATTCATTGGTGATGCCTTAGCAGCCCAGGATATTTGCCTTTGCGCACATAGCGAGTCTTTGACAAACCCTGAACAAGTGGGTCTAAGGGGACTAAGGAGGAAAGCACCATTTTGGGGGTTCTCTGAAAAACACACACACACACAAGTATTCATGCTTCGATTCTGTTCTGACTGCATTTTGAGCCAGCTGGGCTCAAACCACTTGCGGCCGCCCGCTTGCTATGGCTTCATGCCGGCATATTGGAGGCTTGGACATTTGGACAGCTCAGCGCACTGGCCCCTGTGCAACAAAGAACGCAGGCCGCGATGTCGTATGTAGGGACGCGCCCCTCTCAGCATGTCGGGCGTTGCCTGTCAAGACCAGGGAGCTCTTGCGCCCTTTGACGCACCGAACCCCGCAAGCGCACGTTCGGGCGCCGAGGAACCTTTACGTTGCAGGTCTTCCGCCAGGCCGGTATGGCAGGGGAGAGAGAAATGGAGGAGCTCTTAAGATTGCTGGGTGTTTTTTTGGGAAACCCCAGGCGCCCTTGTTCCAAAGGTTTCCCTTGAAACCACCATTCAAAGAATTAATAGTTCTGAGCATATCACTATCACCTCCATTGGCCCAATCGTAGGCAATGGTTGTACGCGCATTCCCTGAGGTCAAGTCGAATTCCTTATTCCTTCATTTTGAAGGGGTCGGAGCGGGTGCGTTCTTCCGATTGCTTGAAGGCTCTCCGCTTGCATGGCCTCCAGGCTTCAATGATGCGCACCTGTTTCAGCTCTTCGACCGCTTTGGGCGCATTTGGTCCTCCCGGGTCCCTGGCACAGATGGACTCACGACAAACATCCCGCATCGAAAGAGACAGCAGCTGTAGCTCAGGTGTGCCCGTCTAGACGCTGGGGTGGTTCTGGCTATGCCTTTGTCAAGCAGACGGCTTAGCAAAACGCAGGGAGTGCTTGAACTCATCGTCTGCTTCATTGGCCCAGGTATGGCGACCCCGCACATGCGGCAAATGCAGTGAGGGCGCTGAATGGGCGTAGTCCTTATGCTCACCGTCCCCAAAACAAAAAGGAATCCAGTGCAGCCACATGGGTACGGGTCAAAAATTAAACCAACAGGGGACCGCAGGTTTTAGTCCATGTTTCCATTTGCCAGGGATCCATTTTGGGTTCCCAGTTTTGGACCCACAGCCGCATGCTGAGGTATGATGTGGGAGGGGCGTGCATCGCCGCGCCGCCCTCGGTGGGCTTTGGGGCTGCCTGGTAGACGCACCACTCTCCGTCAGTCTGCGCGTGGCTCGAGGTGAAATTTGCGGACAACGACCGGCAGCCGCAAAATGAGGAGGGGAAGGACTGCCAAGGGTTTTTAGGAACAGGGTTCCACTTTTCGACTACCCCAGGGTAGACTTAAACCCAGGGCTGGGTCATTACCACCAAAAGGGGAACCCCTGGGTTTAAGCCTATCTTGGGGTAGTCAAAAAGTGGAACCCTGTTCAGGAAGCTTCCGAGCTGAGTTGAACTAGAGCACAGTGCTGCATTCTGGCTGGCTGCCAGGGGAAGGGGAAGCTGAACCCGTGGACCATTCCAGCCGACAACAGCACTTTGGCTCCATGTCAAGCCAGTGAGTATGCAAACATTTCGGCATGGGGACCCTGGTTTTGGAATCCAGCCTGTTTTCGGTCAACTGTTGTTGGGGTTGCAAAAGCAGCACCCCGTTTCGGCGTGCTGCAAAACGTTTTCCAAGGCGAGGTTTTCGTCAGCGGCTTGCGCGCCGACACCGACGAGGACCCAGACATCGCTCGGGTTTGCGTCACATTTGCGACGGCAGTCGCAGGATTCGGTGCGGACAATCTTCAAAGACATGGGCAAGGTCACCATGGTCAAGGCTGGGAGGTGTTCGACAGCTTCACGAAAGTTTGTCGAGCCACATGAATAAATTCACGTGGTATGTCATTTTCTTGAAGGCGGCTTTCGGCACATGCCGTCATATATAGCAGTATAGCGAAGCCAGCCATTTTGAGGCTGCAATGTTCCAACAAATCAGATCAACCGAGCAGGAAAAGAAGGGCTGTTCTCTTCTACCATTCCTTCAGTCACATGTGTATTCCCGAAACCAAACTTCAGGTATGCTGCGAGGGCAAGCCTGATGGCCAAGGTGCGGAGGGCTGCAAAGTCCTGAAACCCACCTAAGCAACTCTGACGTGAAACCCAGGAGTTGGCTTTGGGGGAAATCAACCACGCCCGGGTTTAAGCATATCTTGGGGTAGGCAAAAAATGAACCCCTGTTGGTGCAGCTGGGAGATGAGGCTATGCCCTGGCGCGCTTCAGATATCCAGAGGAGGCCCAGCACGTGGCTTCCCAGCACCTCAGAATTAGGCGTCGGGTCGAAGCCAGGACGCGTCCCATCGCAATGTCACGCAAACACACATTCACTGACCCACAGCCCCACAGACACACACGCACACACACACAAAATCAAGCCACAAACACCAACAAAGCAACACATCAAGAAGCAAGCACGAAAACAAACCCAACCACAAAGACAAACCAACCAAAAGCACAAGCACAAGCTCCAGAACAAACACACAGACAAACACAAGGAAAACACACAAACAACAATACAAACACGCACACCCGCCCGCCCGCCCGCACGCAAGCACGCACGCACGCACGCACGCACGCAAGCGCACGCACACGCGCACGCAGACACACACACACACACACACACACACACACACACGCACGCACGCACGCACGCACGCACACCCACACACACACACACACACACACCCACCCACCCACCCACCCACCCACCCACCCACCCACCCACCCACCCACCCACCCACGCACGCACGCACGCACGCACGCACGCACGCACGCACGCACGCACGCACGCACGCACGCACGCACGCACGCACGCACGCACGCACGCACGCACGCACGCACGCACGCACGCACGCACGCACGCACGCACGCACGCACGCACGCACGCACGCACGCACGCACGCACGCACGCACGCACGCACGCACGCACGCACGCACGCACGCACGCACGCACGCACGCACGCACGCACGCACGCACGCACGCACGCACGCACGCACGCACGCACGCACGCACGCAGCACGCAGGCACGCAGGCACGCAGGCACGCAGGCACGCAGGCACGCAGGCACGCAGGCACGCAGGCACGCAGGCACGCAGGCACGCAGGCACGCAGGCACGCAGGCAGGCACGCAGGCACGCAGGCACGCAGGCACGCAGGCACGCAGGCACGCAGGCACGCAGGCACGCAGGCACGCAGGCACGCAGGCACGCAGGCACGCAGGCACGCAGGCACGCAGGCACGCAGGCACGCAGGCACGCAGGCACGCAGGCACGCAGGCACGCAGGCACGCAGGCACGCAGGCACGCAGGCACGCAGGCACGCAGGCTCGCAGGCACGCAGGCACGCAGGCACGCAGGCACGCAGGCACGCAGGCAC